GAAGTTTGTCAGATTTGTATTCATAATATTCTCATTAGAATTTATTTCACATTTTCTCAAGGCATCTTGTTGGTGATCATTTATGAATGTGGTCATTATAGACTTTCACTTTAATAGTAGCAACTATGAGAAAAACCGGTGGTTCCAACTGCAACTGAAAGTTATAGTTAAATATTCTACAACTTTAAGCGTATAAATAAAAAGAAAAATACTGAAGACGTTTTTAGATATGATAAGATTCAATTCTGGAATAGTTTTCTCTATACCAGTACCCACATCCTTTTCGAGAATCGCGAAAAAAACTCATCCAAAAGAAGCTAAGAGATTCAAAAATGAAAAGATATGAAAATCATAGTAACTTTAAAAGCAAAATTGACTAAAATTCGATTTCTCTTGATTCCTCATAGTCTGGTAGAAATTTTTCATTTCAAGTATATTGTATGAGTATAATGAGACTAAAGAATACATGTAAGTTTTACATTATAATCTTGAATGAGTTGCATTGACACAATCTCTATTTTTTATTTAAATAAAAATTTTTCTAATTAAAGAAACTGAACAATTTGGAATACTTTGTTCAATTGATGGTCATACATGTATCTTCATCGTTATCATTGATTTCAACACCGTGAAAATAATAAAACCGATGAATTTTATCAGTTAACTAAAGCAATTTTCGGTTGATCAATATTTAATTGATAAAGTAACTTAAAAAAAAACTGTAATATTCGATTTTTATTTTAGTCTTCACTTATTATATGTTTAAATTTTAGTGGTCTTCATAAAGCAAAGAAACGAGTAAGTGGAACTTTTTTTAATTTAGAATCTAATAAACATTTAACAAAAAAAAAATTAATTGTTCAATTCATTTATTAGAACAGGAATGGTCGAATAGTTTCGATTCAAGTAAACAAATGAATGTATGATCAAAAGACAAGTAAGTATTTCAAATGAGAATTTTTCATAATTAAACTAAAAATATTCAGAAAATTTTGACTCATTTAACAACTGAAACGAATCGAAAATGCGTGTGCTCATAAAGTTCTGATCTACTAGTGAAACTCGTCGGGATATCTCATTTACTATCAAGTCAAAAGTTTCAAACACATTATTTATTCTTTCTTGTTGTCTATCTATTGATATTGATTACATTTTGAATAATTAATATTTTAAGTTTGTTTTATAAAAACTTATGAAATAGCTCAGTGACTGAATATTCTGATTAGTGTTTTTTTTTTCGTTGTTTTGACTGTAGTGATATATTAAATCATGAGAAAAAATAAACTAAATAAGAATTATTGTTAGGTTTAATAAGCGTAGCTACAAGGAAAATAAAAGTGACTTCTACTGAATTACTTTTAAAGTAATTCAAAAACTAACTGTATTGAAGCTCAAATACAAATTTCATAGATGAACAATTCAATAATCATCTCTAAAGTTATCAAGATAACGTAGGATACAAAAGCTTTGACACTAATTATTCCTTTATGTAGTGGTGAATTAAGCTTGCAGTAATTGATGTTTGCACTAAACAAAATCAATATTTTCATCATTCATAACTTGTTTAAATTGATGATGTTTTTCTGCTATGTAAATATATAATTAGATAAGAAATTCTGTACAACTAACTTCATGCTATAAAGTTAGATTTTGAGTTGAAAAAGAAAAAAAATGAGCCAAACAAAATTTTTGTATCGATTTCAGTTCGGAGTTGTTTCAAACATTCTACTTCTATTATGGAATGTTTAAATTAGAAATAACTCATGAACACATATTTTCGAAATTTATTGTTTTCCCTAATAAATATCTAAAACAGGAAGGAATATTTTATAATAACTCTTTGCAGTCGAAGCCATGCTGAAATAAATACCGTCATAAGAAAGGTTAGTATAAAGTATCTGTGAGAATCTTTCGTTTTACTTCAATGTGATTTGTATGCCAAATTTAGTATAATAGTTTTGGTGCAAGAAAGTACTCGGTACTTATCTCAAGAAAAATCTTAGTATTCTTCGAGAAAAGAACTCCAAATGTTTTGCTATTCTCGAAGAAAAGTGAAACTTTTTCTTCATTTTGAACAGTCGCAATCTGCAAAAGCAGTATATAATTAGATGTTCAATATAATTCTTCGATAGTGTGAATTACCGAACATTATTCAAGACCTCATCAAAATTTTTCTTACTTTTTAGTTTACATATTAAAAAGACAAGATCAATTTTTAAATAAAATCTTATCAAGAACTTTTCCCATCTATCGAAGGACAAACATCAGATGAGAATAAGAAAAGTTGACTGTTGAAGTATTGTTATTCCGAACCTTCGTTCTCCGCATATCGAAATTTTACTGAATATTTCAGCACATAAACATGTAGTCCGCCTCAAATCATCTAGAAAATGGGATTTTGACTTTAAACTTTGCGCGAACAAAATTCTTAACGAGATTCGTTAATATGGAAAATGTCGAATATTCAATATTTCAGGGTAGGAAAAAAAGAACTAGAAAAGTTACAACTTGTCCCAAGAATTAATCTAATATTTATGCAAAATTTGATTTCGAAAGTCGATTTTTCATGTGACCTGAGTAGGACTACAGATTTTTGTTGAAAAACAACGAAGGTTCGAAAAACGGAACTATTCTAAACTTTTCTATTACTCGTCAAATGAACATCGTCTCAGTCGAAAAGTATGTCGTTGTGTCAAGTTGAATTTTTGTTCACTCAATTTCGATTGATATGATCTATTTTCCAAAAGAATTTAATAAAATTTTTTCAATTCCGAATTCATTTATCTCTTTGTTTTATTTAGGATTTGTTCATGGAAATTGTTCATCATTTGGATTCTTCGCCATTTATGCAATACATTCAAGAACATAAGTTCATTGAATATTACCTTTAATTTTTTTTCCATTTGATTTCTATACTTTTACAATGAATGTATTAACTGATAAAGAAATCAGTATCTTTTTTTGACTCAAAATAGAAAGTTTTATATGTTATTAACCTTTTTTGTTTCTTTTCGATGATTAATCTACTTTTCGGAATAACTTTGGATCTATGATCAAAAACACCATCGACCCTTAATAAATCAAAATCGAATGAAAATATATAAGAAATGATTCATCTATTGTATCTGATATTATGTTTTTATGAAACATGATCTGAAATGAATGTTGAAATATAAAACACTTGTGTAACTGAAACAATTCTCTCTAAGCAGTAGCAAGTCCGAAGACTCCAACAGAACTACTTGAATTAAGACCTTCGAAAAAAATTTTATTTTATAGAGGAAAATAGGGCGTCACCGAACTTTCCATGTATTTCCTACATCGACTTGTTTTTGATCTACGAAGAGCTCGAAAAGCAATTCGATGACGAAAATTCATGGAGAGTTTGGAGACGTGTCATTTTGCTCTATCCAATAAAAATATTTTTCAAAACCTTCAAATAGATACAAGAAATCTGGTTTTGGACGTCTTGATCTTCCGCAGATCCTCATTCGAGTGGTTTCGTTGAGGTCTTCGAGTCTACTAATCCTGATGAAGAACCCTTTTAGTTGCACATCTCTCTGTTGTACCAGAGACAATGACAGGCTTTGTTGATAAACGGTCGAAGATCGTGTCTCAAAATCGTCTGGTTAACTACTTCCTGATTGCATTTCTGAAGCATCAAGTAACTGAATGGTGAAGAAGTCTCTTCTAAATTAGACTGAATAAAACAATTTCCTTATCATTAGCAACAGCTGCTGCAGCATGTTTCACAATTTAATCCCACACAAAATTCACTAGTAGTATTATTATTATATTTTTTGTTTATAAAACACCAAAACCTGATATTCGAAATATTATGATGGTAACTGTTTTACGTTACGTCAACAAAGTACCTCATTTGGATATTCTTACTGGAGCTTTATTAAATGCTGATGTTTTCTTGTGCGGTAAAATCAAACAATTTCTTATTCATCTTTTCATTATTAATGTTAAATTTAAGGTATTATCAGTTGAAAAATTACAATACTATGTATTTATGGTACTGATGAATATAGTACAGCAACTGAAACAAAAGCATTGTTGGAACGGAAATATATACCACGAGAAACTTGCGATAGATATTTTGATTTACATTAAAAAATTTATAGACAGTTTCAATGATAACATTGAACAATTATATTGTGATAATTGTCAACGGTACAGAACTTGTTGGCATATTTTGTTCTAATTTTTTTTTAATATATTCATGTATTTGAAGTTTTCGAGCAGATCATTATGTAGCTGGTACATGTGCAGATGCAACATACAAATTTGTTGATGCTCATAGTGACCAATGTGATAAGTGTAGAATATTAATTAATGATGTTGAACGTATTGATTTTTCGTCAGACTGCTCGAAATTGGTCAGCCTATGATCAATTGATATAGAAAGTATCAATTAGAAGTTCCTATATAAACACCAACAACATGTCGAGAAAACATCACAAAGATAAATGGAACATCGTAGTAAATGCGCTATTCAATGAATGAGACAACATCTTAGTCCTAAATAATTTATCCAAGACTACGTAGTATAGAGGAGAATGTTGTCTACGTTTGAACATACTATCTCTCACATACATGATGGCATTCATAGTCACTCATTCATAGTGGCTACTCTAGACATGAGCAGTACCGTGTCTAGACTCTTATAGAGATAATTCGTTCCACTTTACTGCATTTCAGATTATTAAATATTTGAATTTTCGAACTCAGTAGGGTAAAACCAAGATTCACTTCATGCTTACTTGGATATCATAATAGTCTATAGTTTTAATGACAAGACCACATGGTTTTGTTTCTTTAATTCCATTCTGTTAGACGGATAGATTTTCATCAGAAAAATCACAACTAGCTACAGATTCTGTATGTTCAAAATTAATATTTTCAACGGTTGTTTTTGACGGGACGAAAATTATAAATACGAAAAACTGTTCACCATTATCTTTTGATCATTCTAGATAAAATAATCATAAATTTCAAAAATACAAACTTATTTGAACTATTTTAAACATGAATTCGGTTAATCTTTTTCTTGGTCGTTCTAATTTATCAATCATATTTTGATCACTTCGATTAAAATCTTCTTTATTTAACATTGATTGTAAATCAGTTAATTGAGTAAGTTCACAAAGTTCTTCTATAAGTAAATGATACTTGCATTGGTCCACGTTGACCAACAAGTATCACATATCGTATTCGACTTTCACGAAGTGTATCAAGTACTACGATATCAGTAACATGTGTTTTAGCTAAATCATCAACAGATGAAAACATGAATTTTGAGTACAATCAAGTTGTGATTGAAGGTGAATATTTTCTGATACATCTATTTGAAATTGTTTTCTTTTTTTTATAATGACTTAAAAATTATTTTGTTTTGTTTCCATTTTGCCATTGTATTATTCACGAAAAATCTTTAGTAGAAAAAACGTTTTCTGATGTTATCTTATCAGCAATATTTAAATTACGTTCAACGAATGAACTATAAGTAAATATTATAATAAAATTCTTGTAGTTCTTTCACATTATCATATCGAACAAGATAATAAAATGAAGGTAATTTTTCAATAATATCAATTGTTGTCGGTATTGTGTGCCGAAGTTTAACTAAATTTTGTGTTAAATAAAAATTAGATAGATCACTCTTTATGATACAAATGCATATTAGTGATGAAGGTAATATAGAATTGTTAGTAACTATTGAAAGTGAACATCGAATAAGACAATATACAAAACAGCGTCCATTAAAATGAGTAAACATTGACAAGATATTAAAGATACATCTAGAATATAATATGGAGCGTAATTTCTATAAAAGTTTTCAATGTCTCACTTGTAAATATTCTTTCTTAAGATTAAACATAAATTTTCAGAACAAACACTCATTCTGAAATTTTCTAGTAAAGTTCTTATGACTCTCGTTTATAGTTTATGGGGTAAGCAAAAAAAAACTTCTTGAATATTTAAATTCGAAGAAGAATCAATATGACGTATAGCAATTGTCAAGATATTAAAGAATGAGTCTTTTCTCACTTACAACATTAATTACAAGTATAAAATAAAAATTTTGCATACAATTCTTCTGAAATATTCATATGCAATTAAAAATTAAAACATTTAAATTTTTAGTCTTTTGTTATTCTTCAATCTTATTTATGGACATCTTGTCTATTAAAAGTAATCAAATATCATGTTGTACATGTTTTATTTTCACACTAAATATGCAACAATAGAGAAAAAAGAACGCAATTCTATTTTTCAGTTTTTCGTTGCTTAACTTCAATCATAGGTCATTCACTTGTATTTAATTGTGAATCAGATGTTGTACATTCTTTTTTTTTCTTTAAAATAGATAGATGAAAGATTAATATCTCCATTATCAATTGCGACAGTTTCGTTATTTGTTGTTGAAAGAGGTATTACATGTTGTGTAGTTGTTCAAGATAGTATTCATAGTCAAAAACAATCATGATAATTAGGAAATAATTGTATCAAAACGAATATGTTGAGTATGCGTTAAGAGTTTATATCTTTCGATGAATCTTGTTTTATTAATCCATCTATAAATATATATTAATGTTAGATTTTAATTTAAAAAAAAATTAACAGAAAGTAAAAAGAAATAAATCAAATGAATGATTCAATGTTCAATAATAACCTGATGAACGATAACAAACAGCTCTTTCTAAGATTATTTTCTTTGACATAAATTAGCATCTTCATCGAAAGCTTTGCCAAAATGATGAACAGCATTTAACAAAACAATAAAATGAATAAAAAAAAGACAAACCAATAAAAATAGAACATTTACCAGTCGATTAAAAATTGATTTGCTAAACATAACTAACTAGTATATATTCACGATCATTATCATATAGTGTTTAATAAAAACAATACAAATTTGAATTTCGATGATCAAAAATCAAGGTGCAAAGTTTTATTTGCAATCAGATTTAATAGTAGTCCGATACTAGGTCTTCAGATGAAATAGATTTTTTGATGCAATGCCATGCAACATGTAATAAAAAGGATCATTGGTATGATTTTAAATTGAAACGACTTTTTAACATAACAATTTACTAACTATTATCCATTTTTGAAAATAAGTCGCTTGGACAGAATTTTTATAACTTTTGAAAGGGAAATGATAGAGATCTGCGGTTTTCATTGTTGGATAGAGCACAGCAGGGCGCGTGTTACTATGAAATAATCGAGCCTTCAAGTAAGGTGTTCCATGATAAATCTTTGAATGCAAACTCTACAATGCTGAAATTTCTTAGGGTATGAGGGATTTTGATTTCTAAATAATGAAACATTTTATCGTATTTCTTAATGATAAAGAAGAAAAAGAAAAGCATCCAACTTTTTCATTTCAACTTGGACTTCAAAAATATTTATGTTCCCAGAAGAATATCTGGAAAAACAATCGTTTTATTTGCTATCTCATTCTGATGAGCAAAGCAAGTCTTTTCAAATTGGTGGATAAATATGAAATTTTATCGAATGGATTTTGTCGGTTAACGAAGAATCAGAAAGATATATGGCACACATGGCAATGTAGATATATATTCTGAGGTTTTCTTTTAATAATTTCTCATAATGAATAGACGCTGCTAGATACAGATGAAATCTTCAACGATTTTTTCATAAGTCAATCGAATATACATAGAAATAGGCCAAAGTAAGTCAAAAAATTATTTGATTGAACAGAAAATTGGACATCAGAGTGTGAAGATAGATTTACTTAAATATGCGTACCTTAAGATCTGTTTAAAACCAAAATATCGATAAGAATTTAATGTTGTTAGAAAAATCTGTATATAATATCAGCATTTTAGACTTGATAAAACCTGTTTTTTTTGTCAATCTATTTGTGATATCAAGGAAATAAACAGAGATTCAATGATAGAGACGTTTTATTATCTTTTAGATGTAGACTAATATCAATACTGACTATCTATATCTGAATAAGAATGTAAAGTATGAAGTATAAATAAAAAATATCTATCATCATTGTTTGAAATAATCAATATAAAATGCGATCGTAAAAAAACTAACATTTTTTTTCACTCTGTTTATTTTTGGTTTTTTTTCCCAAGATTAAATACTAATAGACTGCGTTTTATATAGAAATACATTTCTTCATTGATCTTCTATGAATAATTTCAAAATTATATGAAAATACAAAATAAAATTTATTCATTGTATCTTTATGTTCAGTACACAATATTCTGGAGTGAATATCTGAAATGCTCAGATACGAATAAAGCGAAAGAATAATTCTTTTTTTTTATAAAGTTATTTTTATAATACAAAATTCAAGTAATTCTTCTGTTGTTAACACAAACTATTTTGCATTATGCATTTTTTTTTCAAGTAATAACTAAATTTTATTTGATATTATGGATATGATCATATAAATGCACACGCTGTTCTTTTCCTTCTCGTTCACATCTTCGAAAAGAAAGAGAACTGGTGAAGACCAGTTCCAATTCTGAGTAAAGGTATATAGATAAATCTGTATCCAGTTACGCTACCAGATATTAAAACGTTGGCTATGTATGCGTATGGATGGTGTGGTAATTTATAAAGAAGAGAGCTCTAAGCTGTATGGGTTATCGTAAAGGATTGAAGCAATATAGTGAAATCAAACTGTACGATCTTGTATGAACGTGCAAGAATTTGTGACTGATCTCACTGTCTGATTGGTTGACTTGGATTCATTCATTTGAGCTAAAACTGTCAGAATGTAATAATTGCTATGAGATCTGTTATTGGAGAAAGTTTCTAATGGAAACTCCTTATTACAGTTTTTTTTGTCATATCTTGTAATATGCTGAAAGTTTAATAAAACGATCATGAAAGGCTTACGGACATGAACATGTTTAATGTTATCATCACGACTTTGAGTCCTATTTATGAGCTCAAACAGAGGATATCTATTTGCTGATAAATAGGACAAAAAAAATTTTTTGCTCATATTTTTATCATAGTCATACAAATTACATTTAAAAAACAAAACGATTGACATATTATCTAGTTTATATGCGATCAAAAGTTGTCTTTTTTCTGAGTTATTATTCAAATCATAACACAAAAACTAGGAAATATTTGATACTTTTTGAGAAAATATCTATATGAAAAAAATATATGTCTTCGCGAATTTTCAGGTGTAGTAACAGAAATTGGTGATATGAGTGGATGTTTTTTTTAGTTTTACATTTGGTTCTTGTCGTTGTAACATTTTAGCAACAGCATGATGAAAATCTGATTGATTAAATAAAAATGCACTAATATGTCCATGAGGAATATATCGAATATGAACACCAGGCCATACATCATTGATATGTGGAATACCATCACTTCATACACATCTATCATGTGTACAAGCAATAAACATAGCATTAGATATATTTGATTGAATTAGGCGTGAATAATTATATAAAGATGTAGATTCATCCATAAGAAGACGCATCATATCTTTAATAGGATCGACAACAATCCTATTTGAATCTATTGATCTATTTTGTTCACGTAAATAATCATAAAATATTTGAGAGGCTTTATTTTCATAGAATTGTCGTTTTAAAAGAGGGTGTGGGTGTGGATCTGATATACATTCACATTCACACCCACATCCTAACATCACATAAATGACATTGTTAACTATGTTCAGAACTAATTAATAATTTGTTATATGCAAGTATGCGTTTTAACTTATGTGGAGAAATTAGTTTTTCTAAAACTGATAATGAATTCTTTATTCTTTTTTTTTTTGAAAATACGATTATGTATAAATCGATGACAGGATATACATTGTGCTCTTGTTGACTTAGTAGTAACTGATGAAAGATATATTTTTTCAAATGCCATATTTTAAATCGAACTGAGCATTAAATAACAAGAGTAAGTATATATACA